AATTCTTACAAGTTTCTTATTTTTGCTTATTTTCTTATTTTGCAATTAAAAAATGTGTAAACCACAGTAGTTAGTACCATTTTATTTGATTCTTAAGAATTGGGTTTAATCTAAACTTTTAGGAATGCAATACAAAGGATAAATGAACAATACAATGCAATTTAAATAATAAATGAACAAAGCTGTGCAATATAAAGGATGAAACATTATGAACTTACTAATCAATGTGATCAAAATTTCAAAGCATAAAACTGCATTCTTATGAAGGACTTTTATGAAAGGGAAAACTAAACACTGTATGTAGTCCATCTCTTGTATTACTGGAAGCCAACATGCAAGCATAGACATCAATCTGAAAATGTTAAAAATATATAAATATAACAAATCAAATCTCTCTGTTGATTAAAATACAGTAAGTAATTTTAACATGACTTTAGTAATGGAGGCAAAAAATTATAAAACAAACATTGAAGTATTTTGTTTTGTTGTTATTCTTGTTTTAAACATATTATTTTTTAAAATAGTAAGATTTTTTTTAGCATTAAACTTTTTTATGTAAAAAAAGAAAAGTAATTAAATGGTTATTTAAAAAAAAACAATTTACCTTAAAAAAGTCTTTTGAACACCTGGGTTCATAAATGAATAATCTTTCACAAAAGATTTAACCTGGAATGAATCTTGATGAAGTATTTTGAAGGCTTCTTCATTGCGAGGGAGTTTTAGTAATTGTGACCAAATGAAAAATCTAAAAACAAAAGGGAAACAATAAATAAAATAAAGCTAAATTTTCAATGACAATGTTATTTAAAGTATATGAATTAATAAACTGCTTAAAAATTTAATTAGTTTATATTCAAATTAAAATAAAACTTTAATTTTCTTCTTATAAAACAAATAATGTAATCCACTTTTATAAATTAGCATTTCAGTAAAATGGCACACCACTTCTATGACTGGTGTGATGATACAGGGTGAAATTGCATATGACACACAATCACCCCTAATGATGTCACCCACTGTGCCATGTCAGCCTAGAGGTATATTTCTAACATTTTTCAGCCACATGTGTTGCCTCTGAGTCACACACGTTGTTTCTTTCAGGGTTCTCAGGAGCCATTTTTTGACAAAACAATGCTCAGACTAACCTCATTAAATTTATATAAAAAGCAAATCGACTTGTTCTTAACACTACTAGGTTTAAGGGACTCGTCATTTTGAATTTTATAAGGAAAATTACAAAACCCGTTTGCATTTTTATTTCATCTCTTTTAACGACTTTTATCCATTGATCGAGGTAAATATATAGTGAAGTCTGCTTTCTTCAAAAGTGCTGAAATATTGAAATTCTCTTCGTGGTATACCTATCTCTAGGTATATGCGTCAATTTGACGCGATTGTAGTTTAGGCAAAATTTTGAGTAAACATGCAAACATCACACGAATAATAAATAGGAATGTACCGACAATACTTCGATCCGTTAATCGATATCGTTATCTCAAATGAAACAAGCGATAAACAACTGTTGCCAATAAGCAATCATAGTAAGAACAAATGCAGAATGTCAATGATGTCAGAGTGATGCCAATTGATCAGAGAGATGTGTATAGTGAAATTATTGAATAATAAAAACTTTCCATAAATATATATCTCATATTTTGATTTTTTCTTATTGTATATAATTACATTGCTTTCTAAGTGCTGTTATATGAATTCGTTCATGCGTCAAATTGACGCGTGTTCGTAGGGATAGGTGTACAATAAACGTCCGTAAACCTAGTGTTAAAGGAATACATATTAACGTGATAAGGCTAGTTGCATAAAAAAATTTATTACATTTAACTATAACATTTTAACAACACAATTGTTACAACAAGTACTATAACTAACCTATGCTTCTCTGGATATTCTCCAAAATTTTTTAAAATAGTTCTCAGACCTTTCTCATCGACATCAATAACCTTTAATATCAAAAATATTAATCGTGTTTGTTTTCACAGGTGGATAAGTATATCATAAATATTAGAAACTTTAGAGTAATCACTTTTTTTGTCTTGACTTCCTTCATCTGTACAGATCTAACAGCTTTATGCACTGGAGATGATTTAACTTTAGGAATG